TTTTTTTTTTTTTTTTACTTTTTGTAGAGACGGGGTCTCACTATGTTGCCCAGACAGGTCTTGAATTCCTGGCCTCAAGCAAACCTCCTGCCTCAGCTTTCCAAAGTGCTGGCATTACAGGCGTGAGCCTCTGTGTCCAGTCTATGTACGTGTTTTAATGTGCTCAAGTCACAAAAGTGCCCAATAATCTCTCCTTTCTCCAGAGAGAGCTTTTTTTTTTTTTTGAGACAGAGTCTCACTCTGTTGCCTGGGCTAGAGTGAGTGCGGTGGCGTCAGCCTCGCTCACAGCAACCTCAAACTCCTGGGCTCAAGCGACCCTTCTGCCCCAGCCTCTCAATTAGCTACAGGTGTGCACCATGACACCTGGCTAATTTTTCTATTTTTAGTAGACATGGGGTCTCACTCTTGCTCACGCTGGTCTCGAACTCCTGAGCTCCAGGGATCCTCCTGCCTTGGCCTCCCAGAGTGCTAGGATTACAGGGGTGAGCCACCGTGCCCTTCTGATGGCTACTTCTTCCCCTTCCCTCCCTCATCAATCCTGGACCTATGTGCTAAAGAGCTTCAGAAAGGATAAAAGGGTGGAACTTCCGGGACCAGACTATGGTCCCAGCCTTCTCCATCACGGTCCCCTCTCCACACTCACTGTTGTGCGGTGCCCTTCCATTCCCACCATTTGAACCTTAACCACCGGTTATGGCTTTGTTCAAGTGTTTCTCCTCCAGGAATGTATTCTTCACCCACTACACTTGAGCAGCTTTCTTTCTTTTCCTTAAACCCTATAGAAGTATGATTCTTATCTGCTCCTAACATTTCTCACATTTTATCTTATGTTACAGGTATATATGGGCTCATTTTTCTAGGAACTATGTCTCACTGTTGCTGTGTCCCAGTGTCTATTACAGTGCCTGGTATTACACTGCGGGTGCTGGACAAAAGTTTGCTGATAGGGGCCGGGCGCGGCGGCTCACGCCTGTAATCCTAGCACTCTGGGAGGCTGAGGCAGGAGGATTGCTTGAGCTCAAGAGTTCAAGACCAGTCTGAGCAAGAGCGAGATCCCATCTCTACTAAAAAAATAGAAAGAAATTGGCCAAACAACTAAAAATAGGAAAACTTAGCCAGGCATGGTGGCACATGCCTGTACTCCCAGCTACCCAGGACGCTGAGGCAGGAGGATCCCTTGAGCCCAGGAATTTGAGGTTTCTGTGAACTAGGCTGATGCCATGGCACTCTAGCTTGGGCAACAGAGTGAGACTCTGTCTCAAAAAAAATAAATAAATAAAAATAAAAAAATTTGATGTTTATCATTCCCACATAAGGCATTCTTTTCTCTTTCAGGTTTTTCCCCCCCTTTGGTTTTTATAAATAGGAATTCTATATCTCTTTGTATTTGTCTAAATGTAACTTCATTTGAAAGCATGTGTTTTCTTTTTTGTTTTATTTACTTATTTATTCATTTATTTTTAGAGACAGGGTCTCACTCTGTTGCCCTGGCAGGAGTGCAGTGGTGGGATCATGGCTCACTGCAACCTCCAACTCCTGGGACCAAGCCATCCTC